TACTGAGTTTTGAATGTTAATCTTGTACCCTGCAAGGAATTGATGGAATGAAAATTGAAATCTTTCAAGAAAGTGAGGCGGCATAGGAGGCACTCACTCATTTCTGCCAAGAAATTTGGAAGACAACTATCTGGCCGACTGATTGGAAAAGATCCATATTTGTGCCCATTCCAGAGAGGTGACCCAACAGAACGCGGAAGTCATCGGACAATCTCTTTGATATCCCATGCAAGTAAACTTTTGCTAAAGGCATTACAGAAATGGCTACAATCATACATTGACAGAGAACTTCCAGAGGTTCAAGCTGAATTCAGAAGAGGCCATGGAACAAGGGATATCATTGCTGATGTCCAATGGATCTTGGCTGAAAGCAGAGAATATCAGAAAGATGTTTAACTGTGCTTTATTGACTATGCAAAGGCTTTTGAATGTGTGGATCATGACAAGCTATGGACAACATTGCGAAGTATGAGTATTCCAGAACACTTAATTGTGCTCATGAGGAGTCTGTACCTGGACCAAGAGGCAGTTGTTCAAACAGAACATGGGAACATTGAATGGTTTAAAATCAAGAAACGTGTGCGACAAGGTTGTATTCTTTCACCAGACTTATTCAACCTGTATGCTGAGCCGGCATCCGAGAAGCCGGGTTCTATGAAGACAAACATGGCATCAGGATTGCAGGAAGACTCATTAACAACCTGCAATACACAAGATGATACAATCTTGCTTGCTCAAAGTGAAGAGGACTTTGATGAAGATCAAAGAGCTCAGCCTTCGGTATGGATTACATCTCAATGTAGAAAAAACAAACATCGTCACCACTGGACCAATAAATAACATTCTTATCAATGGAGAAAAGGTTGAAGTTGTCAAGGACTTCATTCTTCTTGGTCAACTCTCAACACTCACGGAAGCAGCAGTCAAGAAATCAAACGGCATATTGCATTAGGCAAATCTGCAGCACAAGACCTTTTTAAAATGTTGAAGAGCAAAGATGTCAGCTTGAGGACTAAAGTGCGCCTGACCCAAGTCATGGTATTTTCATTAACTTCATATGCATGCGAAAGCTGGACAGTGAATAAGGAAGACCGTAGAAGAATTGATGCCTTTGAGTTTTGGTGTTGGAGGAGAATATTGAAAGTGCCATGAACTGTCAAAAGAACCAATAGATCCATGTTGGAAGAAGTGCAACCAGAGTGCTCCTTAGAGGCCAAGATGTCCAAACTTCGTCTCTTATACTTTGGACATATTGTCAGGAGGGACCGGTCGCTGGAATAGGATATCATGTTTGGTAAGGTGTAGGGTCAGAGAAAAAAGGAAGACACCTAACGAAATGGATTGGCCAAGTGGCAGCATTGATGAATTCAAGCGTGGCAACAGTAGTGAGGTTGGCCCAGTATTAGGCAGTGTTTCGTTCTTTTGTGCATAAGGTTGCTATAGGTTGGTACTGACTCAATGGCACCTAACAACAACAACATCCCTCTTTTGAAAGGAGCCCTGGTAGTGTAGTAGATTATGATTTGGGTTGCTAGCCACAAGGTCAGCAATTTGAATCTACCATCTGCTCCTCAGGAGAAAGATGAAGTTTTCTGCTCCTGTAAAGATTTACAGCCTCGGAAACCTTATACAGGGTTGTTATGAGTCAGAATTGACTTGGTGGTACATAAACAGCACTACCAACATGCGCTACTCAAAAAAAAGTTTTGTATGCTTTCTTTATTTTAAGCTCATATCACATCACTTCATGTCAAAAAGAGACTCCTTTTTTTGAGGACAGGAAAAGTACCTTCTTTTTCAACCTCATTACCTGTCTTTCTTGGCCTGGCTCCTGCTACACACCCAGGCTTCCAGTTCTCCCCACTGTTCCATGTTATTTCTGGGCTCTGTCCCTTAACTAAGAACCTCTCTCCACTTAGGATACTTTTCTTCCCAGGTTCCTCTTCCTACTAGTTTCTATGCAAAATATAAAACCCAATCATAGTACTGTTACAACCTTCCTACCGAGTTTTGAATGTTGGTCTTGTACCCTGCAATACTGCTGAAATTGCTTTCTTGTGAAGTCTTTGGGAGTTTTTATATATAGACCATGTCTCTGTGAATATAATTCTACCTTTTCTTTTCTAATTGGGATGCCTTTTCTTTTTCTTGCCTAATTCTTCTAAGACTTCCACTACAATGTTAAATAGCAGTAGTGAGCGTAGATACCCTTGTCTTGTTCCCCATCTTAGGGGGAAAGCTTTCAGTCTTTCACCACTGAGTATAATGTTGTCCTTGTTACTGTACACGAGTTGGGTCCGGTTCTTAGTGACCCTGTATAGGGTTTTTGAGGAGCCCCTGGTAGACTTGAACCATTAACAGAGCAGTGCTTATTTTACAAAGCCACACCAGAACTCACAGTATAATGGTGGAGGTGGTGTGCTGTCAGTCAGTTCTAACTCGAATATTCTGAGGCTATACATCTTTATGAGAGCAGAAAGTTTCACCTTTCTTCCATGGAGTGGTTAGCAGCTAAATGCCTAACCACTAGTACCAGGGTTCCTTAGTATAATGTTGTTGTTGTTAAGTGCTGTTGAGTCATTTCTGACTTACAGTGACCCTGTATACGGTTTCTGAAGAGTAGCTGGTGAGTTTGAACTGCTGCCCTTGAGGTTCAAACTGACCTTTCGGTCCAGAGCTTATTTTACAGCACCACACCAAGACTCCAGTATAATGTTGTTGTGTTGTTAGGTGCCATTGAGTTGGTACTGACTTATAGTGACCTTATGCAAAACAGAACGAAACACTCACTGCCTGGTCCTGCCCCAACCTCACAATCATTGTTATGCTTCAGCCCAATTCTGCTGCCAATGTGCTAATCCATCTCATTGGGGGTCTTCCTCTTTTTAGCTGACTTTCCACTTCACTAAGCATATGATTTCCTTATCCAGGGACTGGTCTCTCTTGATAATAAATCCAAAGTATGAGCGAGGAAGTCTGGCCATCCTGGTTTCTAAGGAGCATTCTGGCTGTACTTCTTTCAACACAGATTTGTTTGTTCTTCTGACAGTCCATGGTACTTTTAATATTCTCTTCCAATACCATGTTGTTATTGTTGTTGTTAAGTGCCATAGAGTTGGTTCCAATATTCTCCTCCAATACCATAAATGCATCAATTCTTCTATGGTCTTCTTTATTCATTGTCCAATTTTCACATGCATATGAGGTTATTGAAAATACCATGGCTTGGCTCAGGCACACCTTAGTCCTCAAAACTGACATCTTTGCTCTTGATCACTTTAAAGAGGTCTTGTGCAGCAGATTTGCCTAATGCAATACATCTTTGATTTGACTGTTGATAGCTGATCCAAGCAAAATGAAGTCTTTGACAACTTCATCTGTATAATATTAGATGTATTTTTTGAGTTTTAAATCTGATGATGTCAATACATTTTTATTTGTCTCTGTAAGTTCCACAACACTTGACAAAAGGCTCAAAAATATTTTGAATAAATAAGGGAGAGATGGTCCCTATTCCCAATTCTCTTCCATTCTTCCTTCCCACAATATTTATGTCAATTTTCCCTACTTAAATCTAACACCTAGAGCAATCTTTTGAAACAAAAATCCACACATCCCACCACAGTCCTACTCAACCCTGTTTAAGTCTACCCTTCATCCTCAGATACCTAATATATAGCTACTGTATGGAGGAGTCCTGGTGTGGCGCTGTACGATAAGCACTGGGCTGCTAACTGCAAGGTGGGAGATTCAAACTCACCAGTCGTCCCTCACTCAGAAACTCTATATACGTCACTATGAATCCGCTGTGGAGTACTGGTGTGGTGCTTTGGGATAAAATACTGGCAAGGTGGCAAGGTTGATTTGAACCACAGGTTAAAGCAGTTCAAACTCACCAGCCACTCCTTGGAAACCCTGTACAGGGTCACTATAAGTCAGAAATGACTGGAAGGGCAAGGGCACTTAACAGCAATCTGCGTCTGATGCATCCCATAGCACTTAAAGACAATAGTTTTCTAGGGTCCATGTGTGAACTTGCTCCCACCCACCTTCTCCAGCCAGGTACCCCTACACCTCTTGGTCTAAGAAAACTCCACCGCCTGTGGCGCCCTGCAAAACAGGTTGCCTTGATTCATTTTATTTCAGCCACCACAAGACTATTTCAACTGTTTTCTCTGCTTGGAATGCCCTTCCCACTTGCACTGCCTGGCTCAGTTCCAGCTTGACCTTCTCAAGCAGGATTTCGTTCTGTGAATTCAGATCCTGCTTAAAAACTTAAAAATCGTTAACTACCTAAAAAGTTTTGGCGCGTCCCCATTTTTGTAAAAAAGTGAAACAGTATTTAACAGTTAAATGTAATTTTAAATAACAAAATTTACGTGTATTCTAGGTTTAGAATATAGTCGTTCATTTATGCTCTCCATTTTGCAGACACCCTAAACACTCCTATCAGGTAACTGCACTGGGCAAACCTGGGTCAAATGCCCCTCTTCTGGGCTTTCCAGGCACAACTCAAGCCATTTGAAAGTAAGGTGAACACATTGAAGTCTGTCTTTCCTTGAACTCCGGAGGAGGCGCGAACAGCGTCTTTGTTCACGGACCTCCAGACTCTCAGTTGGCTTCAGACCTATTTTTTGACTTGAAATGAATGCTTTTCTCCTTTAAGAAGCGGCTTCCTACGTCCAAGAAATACAACTCTCTACCACCTATTGAGGGTTGGCCATGAGAAATGAGTGTGGAATACCACCCAGGCCTGAATGTTAGAACTAGGAGAGTCTCTACGTAAGCTCACCAACACAACGAGCCGAACAGTCTAGGAAACACCAAGAACTAGTGAAGAGGGCTGGGCCAGGGAATTACTGACGCCGGAAGTCATATGGCCAGGTCTGCCTGAACTCACTGTCTCGTCAGTCGACTGCTCAGTCTTGCAGGCGCCTCTGGCGGGCTCTTCAGAGATCTGCTCTTTCGGTACTCGACTTTCCCGTGCTGCTGCCGCGGCTGAAGGAGGGGCAAAACTCAAGATGGCGGACAAAACGCCAGGCGGCTCTCAGAAGGCTAGTTCAAAGGTAATTTCTTAGAGGACTTCGTAGGTCTGTGGGTCTGTCACTGTCATCTAGGTCCTCCAGACGCTTCTGGTCAGCAGGAGGCGAGCGAGTTTGGGGTGTGCGTTCTGGTCACGGCGGTAGGCCAGGGGGCCGCTGCACTGTGGTGCGCAGATTAAGAGGCCTTGTATCTCCCCACAGTCCCAGCCTGGATTCGGCTCGAGACTGGCGATCCCAGAGGGATGGCGTGAATAGTTCGTCCGGCCCTTGGCACTGGGATAAAGTGAAGACTTGAGAATGAGGTCCAAAAACCATGAAAACGCGCCTCTCTGTATCTCAGCTTGGTGAATCCGAGGCCGCCAGACAGCGCATGGGAGAGGCGGGAATCCCGGGGCTTGTACCGCCTCTTTTTCTTCAGTTCTTTGGTTTTGGAACTTACATTCTTCAGGCCTTCCTCAAATTGTCTCTTAGCCTCCAGGCACTGAATAACCTCTAGGACCGCGTAAGGGGCGGACTAATAATGGTGGGACGCATGGGAAGTGCAGAGGCGGGAGCACCTTTCCTTTGCAGCGCTACACCGCCAAGGTTAATGCTGCACTCCACACGTGGCCTTTACCTCACTTTAGAGGAAGTACTAAAAGGGCACTTCTATTAAGGGGTCGAGGGTTTGGAGTCTTGCTTCCTTACCATGGTGTGTGTTCCACTGAAAGGAGGCTTGGAAGCCATCTGAGATTCCATTGCATTTCGTTTTACCGACCCGTGCGCCAGTATTGTGAAACCCAGGAGCTGTGGTTTATCCTTAGTAAGGTTGTGATTAGCATCGGATCGTAGTTGCCATGTTGAATAGGTCATTTAATCGTTTTTGTTTTGTTGTGCTTTTTTGCTTTGAGTGTCTCACCTCGAACACTATATTAAAAGAAATAGGTATTTACTGCCACGAACGTAGTTGCTAAGCATTTTGATGCTGATGCAAGACATTGAGGAACTCTTAAAAGTTCCGGGGGACTGTTCCATCTTAAAAGCGAGTGTGTGTGATTGTAAGCCAAGGTGAACAAGTTTACAGTAGAAGGCGCAAGCCTTGGTTTTACCATTTGTTCTGAGAAATGTAACCCGCTTTATACTTTTTCAGTTTCTAATAACTCTTGAGTCTTTATTCCATATGGTGAATGATGCTCATAATTAGCTCATCATTACTTAAGACTTGACCAGTCAATTTTTCATGTAAAAACGATGGTCCCACCCACTGTCGTCGAGTCATTCCAACTCATAGAAACCCTGTAGGACTGCGTAGATCTGCTCCTTACGGTTTCCGAGGCTGTCGATCGTTATGTGAGCAGACAGCCTCATCGTTCTCCTACAGAGTGCCTGGTGGGTTTGAACCAACCACATTTCGGTTAGCAGCCTGGCGTTTTGCCCATTGAGACACCAGGGCTGCTTTACATCAGGGATGTTTAACCCTGTGTTCTCTCTTCCTTGTGAGAGAGTGAAATAGGTGGTACCTCATGACTCCCTCAACAGACACATGACAAAAATAGCTATTTGAGAGCCTTTAGTAAAGCCAGCTACATCCTTAATACTTAATAATCATGCAGAAGTTTCATGATTCTTGTTTATCTCTTATTTAAGGCCTTGGAGATATTAAAAATAATTCCATGTATATGATCAGCCTCTTTCTCATGATAGTGAGTGGCAGTTCCCTATACGTTATTGGATATTCCAGTAATTTTTTGTTTTATTACTTTAGGTTACATGTTGATGTTGTTCATAGGTTTTTATCAATATCTGTTAAATGATGGTGGTGGTTGTGGTGTGCATAATGTCAAGCCACCCTATCGGATGGATGGGTAGCATCCAGCCCGCAAAATCACTTGGTCTAGCCCTGCCAAGGCAGCTACAGTTCCAGCCATCACATTTCTTGTTAAGTGCTGTAAGTTGGTTCCAACTCATGGTGACACTGGACAACGTTCCCAAAGAGTGGGTGGTGTGTTTGAGCCACTGACCTTTCAATTCAAACAGCTTTGCGGTCTGGCACATCAACCCACAGTGCCACACTAGGACTCCTTGACTTTGTAGCCCCCCTCATTTTGGGTAGTCAATGTCCAAGTTGCCCATTCCTGTCTACCCTGTGTACCAAGTAGGTGGGAATGATCCTTGCTGTAAAGATATTTTTCCCTCTTTTGAGCTACTGCATCCATAGGTGTAGGTCAAGTTCATCAAATTGTATCAGATTACTCTCTTTTTTTCCCCCTCTTCCTTCTTCTTCTGATGGAGTTGTGATCATCCAGCCATTGAAGCCAGGTCAAGTGGGTATTTGCAAGTGTGGGTGTTCTTGTGCCTATCCCCTCACTTCTTAATCAGCTGGATGCTTCAGTCTTCACTCCAGTCCTCTGTGGCTATGTCACTGTCTCTGGGACTCCAGTTTTTTAACTTGATAATTTTATATGGCCCATGAATGATGTTTTAAATTTTGGCAGAAAAACCCACTACTGCTATAGGACATAACAGAACTGCCCCACAGGATTTCCAACACTATAATCCTTAAGAGCAGATTATCAGGTCTTTTCTTCACC